TTTGGAATAATGCCATCTTTACTCTTAAAGTGTGTGGTCCTCTTGTTTGTGTATTAAGGTTGGTGGACCGTGAAAACAAGCTTTCTATGGGTTATATTTATGAGGCTATGGACAGGGAAAAGGAGGCCATTGACAAAGCATTTGGTGGAAGGAAAGAAAAATATGAAGACATTATTAAAATTATTGATAAGAGGTTGGAATGCCAACTCCACCAACCATTGCATGCAGCTAGTTACTAAGGTTCAAAGTATCAACACGTATCGGCCCGTATCGTTCCAGCACCCCACCGATACACCCCTACAGTGGGTGTATCGGTGGGCTGACCAGTTCAGAGTGTGGGCCGATACGTATCGTTCCGGCACCCCACCGATACGCCCCTACAGTGGGTGTATCNTACAGTGGGTGTATCGGTGGGCTGACCAGTTCAGAGTGTGGGCCGATACGTATCGTTCCGGCACCCCACCGATACGCCCCTACAGTGGGTGTATCAGTGGTCTGACCAGTTCAGGGTGTGGCGAAGACCTAAAACGGCTCCCCTGAACCAGTTGGCAAAAAAATTTAAAAAAAAAAAACACCAAAAGGAGTATCGATTCGCTCGATACGCCCATACCGGCGTATTGAGCGTATCAATATTTTGAACCTTGCTAGTTATCACAATTTTATTATGATCAAGAGAGAATTGTGTTTGATGAAGAGGTTATGACAGCTTTTTAAAATTGAGATGCTTGAAAAGGACAATAACAAGAGAAGTGTAATCACTGATGAAATAACCAGGCACAAGAATGCAGAAGGAATTTTTGGTTTTGATATGGCTATTTCCAAGAGGAAGATTAAAGCACTAGGTAAATAATAACATTGATTTAATATAATATCTTATATTCTTAATATTTTTAGTTAGCCTAATCAGTAATTCAGTTAACATTTATACTTTTTAGCTGATTGGTGCACCATATTTGGTGCTTCTACCCCAAATCTACAAAAGATTGCAGTGAAAGTTCTAAGTTTGACATGTAGTGCATCAAAATGTGAGAGAAATTGGAGCGTATTTGAGCATGTATGCCAAACTACTACACTAGAATACTTCCATTTTTTGGATAAACTATCTTAAATTTACACTTATTTAATTTTTTTTGATAATTCACACTTATTTAATTTTTTGAATTAACATATTCATACTAAGAAAAGAAATCGGTTGGATCAGAAGCGATTACATGACTTGGTATTTGTTAAGTTCAACCAGATGCTTAAAGAAAGTTTTGACTCACGTAGAACCATTGAGCCTGTTTCATTAAAAGATGTAGATGAGAGTAATGAATGGTTAATGGGGGACGTAGAACGTGATGAAGATGGTGCAAAAGCTGATTTGGTGTTTAATGGTGATACACTAACATGGGGAGATGTTGCTCATGCTTCGGGAGTCGAAGAGCCACTAAGGTACAAGGTCTAGAGCTTCAACTTCTAAAGTAAGAGCAACAAAAGCTAGTGAAAAAAGACCAAGACAGCTTCAATTGAAAGATGAAGAAGAGGAGGAAGAAGTTGGCGTTGAAGTTGAAGAAGAAATGGAAGAGGATTTTGATGACTACAAGTCAGGTGACAATGAAGATGAAGTTGAAATTCCAAGTGAAGATGAAGAGGATGCTTATTGAGTCTTGAAGAATGGTTGAAACCCTAGACTCTTTTTTTTATATAGAAAATTGTCTATGATTTTTTTTTTGTAGAAAATTGTCTTACTCATTTTTTGGGTAGAAAACTGTCTATAACTCTTCTTTTTTTGTAAGAAAACTGTCTATGACTCTATGTCTATAATCTGTCTTTTTTTAAAAGAAAATTGTCTATCTCCTTATTTGAAAGAAAATTGCCTATGGCATGACTCTAACTCTATGTGATTGTATTGCATTAATGGCTTGCAACTTGCTTGAAGTCTTGAACTTAATGTTGATTGTTGAGTATTTGAGAACTTGAGATGTTTTTATTTGATTATTTCAGATTTTTGTTGTTATTTGACATATTAATAGGTTGTTTGTTAATCATTTAATTTAATTTGAAGCTTAGGTATATATTTTTTTAATTATATCCATCAATTTTCTCATTTTTTCTGATTTTTCAAAAAGATGTGCGGCTTGCCTCAAAAAGGCGTGCTCCTCACCTTGCGCCTTGCGCCTTTCGCTTTTAAAACATTGGTCAATGCTCATCAAAACATTACAAGCCTCATCAGCCGAACCACCATCTTTTTCTTTTGGAGACTCGATCTTCTTTCCATAGGTATATTTCATTATCCACCAAAGAAAGCCATCTTTATCCAGCATTGTAGATTCAACAAACTTGACCACTGCCTTATTTTCATTCACCTCAACACCCCCTCCCTCAACCTAAGTTGAAAGGGACGAAGAAAGACCAAAATTTCCAACTCCCAAAACTTCCTTCCCATGTATCACATGGTTTTTAGGTCTACCAAATGACATCACCTCCAAACAATCCATATCGACCCTTGAACCAAAACTTGTGGGCCCAAAGCTACTTGTTCTAAGCTTAAGTCCAAGCATACTGTCTAAATTATCTCCCACATGAGATTTTAATTTATCATGTGCTTGGGTTTGAGCCATTGACTCCAAACTTAATACCCAACCCGGACCACCAATAACCACATGACTATTCAATTTCTTGAACCCTAATTTGAGCTCACCCTCAAAATTATTAAAACCTATGCAATAAGAGTAGACACATGTTCTCTTTCTTTACATGCCAACCCCATATTAAATGCCTTGGGGTGAACAACCACACCTATATTCATCAAAACTTTTGCAGGATTCTCACCAAGCATCATTCAAACTTTCTTTTCGAGGATTACTAAAGACAAAAGGGAGTGATTATTAATGGCCCCTTTTAACTTAAAGTGTCTAGTGTCTACTGATGGAATCCCCTACCACTCCAATCCCCCACTTCATGCTTAGCCAAGATGACCAAGGCATTCTCCCAACTTTCCTTTCCTTGAACAACCAACATTTTGCCAAGACCATTAGTATGCAAATACACATAATATAATAAAGGCTCTTTGGGGGTGGGGGTCGATTCATTCTGTTGGACACCCTTGAAACCTTGTGTTAGACTCACTTAAGTTCAGCTCATTGTCACCTACAATGAACAATTGCTCCTCAACAGCCATTTTTTTATCTTGGTTAACTTCCTTTAAGATTGGGTGCCAAGTCTGCCTTGTTTCTTAACCCTATGTTTGAGAGAAAATCCTAAAGCACCAAAAACAATTCTCCCCACCCTGAACTTCTCCAACCCTCCAGAAAACAAACAAATTCCGTACCATCCAGTCCCAAAGTACTCTGACAGGACTAAGAACCTCCCTTTGCCATTCTCTTTTCTTTCAGCCACATATCTTCTAGCACCTTCAGCCTTCAAACATTTCCAATTTAAATTTCTTCTAGTGGTAATGGCGCCACCAATCCAACTCAGGAACCACCCTACATATTCTTCTAAAACAAGCACAGTAGAGCTAAGACTTTGTTTCTTCTATTCTCAAATTTTTAAGGCTAACCAATCCCTAATCCCAGATTCCTCAAGAAAAAAAAAAAAAAAAGATTTTGTTTCTTCGCAGTCTTCATCTCCACCCCATCATAGAGCTAAGACTTCAGCTCTCAGAGTATTACCTTGACCTACTTGTGGTGAAAGCTTTTCACCTAATGTTATGTAATATCAATTTCGTTGATGAAATTTCTATGTATTATTAGAAAAAAAAAACAATCATCTCTTAGTTATACAAATCAGGACCATGGGATTTATCAGAGAGGTAGTGGGTAATCAGTCCAAGTAATAGTTCATAAGAAAAATGGAAATAAAAGGTTGGAAACCTTCAGGAGTAGAAGTTTTCAAAGATTATGAAAGGTAAAGTGTCGTTACAATACGCCTCGTATTGTATCGTTCCAGCAGGTCACAATATGTTAATTTTAAGGCTTTTGAAAAAAAATAGTGTTTTTAAATGTTAAATAATATTATTATAACCCCACTGTAAAAATATGAAACTAAAAAAAATTGATTCATCCAAAACACCCAATATACATGTTCTGGTGTATCGGGTGTATTGATACTACAAACCTTGGGTATGGAGGACTAGCACTCTTCAAGATCTCAGGTTTATGTTTTTTGCGGGTTTCAATAGAATCAATGTGAACTGTGAACCTTAGATTGTAATTCATTGGTTATCAAAGAAACCTTATATGTATACCATGAGGATCATGTCCGTATATTGGATCAATTGGAAAAGAACCTCAGACCTATAAAAATAAATACATATATAAAGAAAACAGCAACAAAAATCTGAACCATATAGTTAATGAATAGTGTCCGGTATTCAATTTAGTGGTGATGTTCTAAGTTGACATGAAGATGATGTATGTCCTAAAAGACAAATGTGAACAAAAATGAAACTCTATTGCAATTTAAGTACATGTGCCTACTAATTCTTACATGAGATGATAATGAAAACATATAGCATCTAACAACTGCATTACAAAAAGATATGGAGTTGTTTCCTAAGCACCTGGGCGAGAAAAATGAAATTCAGTTGTTTTTGTTAAGTAACTATGCAAGCAATAATATTCCATCACACTCTTTCCTGTGAGATAAAATTGACTTTTCTTTGTAATTAGTAAATTCAAAAGCAATTTGTGTAATTACTGACATTGGGATCAAGTTGAATGGTGAACCATAAGTAATCGAGTAAAAATTATCACAAGTACATGACAACCAATAGAATCATCACTCACTAATCAAAAAAAAAGAAAAAAAAAAAAACAATAGAATCATCACTCCTCGGGGCTAACAATTTAAGAGAACAACAACAACACAACTCTTCAATTCCCATCAATAATAGCGTAGAAACCACACTGAAACATAAGCAACGTAATGAAGAGGAAGCTAATCCAAATTAATATCTTGGACTCGAATTCAACTCATAAAGAGCAGAAGATAAGAAGTTCGTAAGAACAATGAACCTGAGTGTGACCTCGAAGCAAAGATCTCAAGGCTGTATTTATGTTGAGGACCCGTATAGCCCCCAACTTTAGTCCATAACATATGTACGTCCTATTAACAGCAATCTGACGGCCCAAAACGAGTCCGGGATCTGAAACGTACTTGGTGATCGGAGTGACCTCGAGCTGAGGCTGAACCTCGCCCTGCAACCTTACGTCCACGTCATACACCACATGGTCGCCGGTCAAATGCCGCCCCTTCGGTAGCTTGCTGCTTGGCAACCGCATAGGGGTGGGTGGGGGGATCGCCGGGTTGACGGGCGGAGCCGACAGCATAACCGGCAAGATCGGAGGGTTGATGTGCATCGGGAATTCAGAAGTGCCAGACGATGCAGACACTGTTGAGGGCGAAGGTATCGCTTGAGGAGGCAATTCCATATTAGCTGGTGTGTTAGTGCTTAGTAGAGCCATCAGTCTTGCTCCAGGATTAGGGTTTGGAGAAGGGAGGTGAGGAGGAGGCTGCAAAGGGGGAGTGGGATAAGAGATGGGCCTCTGCTGGTGCACGTTAGAAAGTTGGTCTTGTCCATAAGGGAGATAATGGTGATGGAATAGGGTGGTTTGAGGTGGATAGGAGAAAGGGCCGGTGGGCGGAGGATAAGAAGAAGGAGGTGGAGGATAAGAAGATGGTGGAAATGGTGATGTGTTAATATTGTTGGGATTTGGCGGCGTAGGATTGGAGGGTTTGAAGAACTTCTGCATTTCAAATGGTCCAGGCTGATTAGGATTCCCGGAAGAAGCCATGGGAGAGCACACAAATCGATATGAAGCAAACCGGAGACAAAAAGAATAAAGAAAACTTAAAACCTATAAATTATCGTGCGCTGTAGTCGGGCAGGTTGAGATCTGAAGAACTCGAGGCATCAAACCCCAAACCTAAAGCCCTGATCACTAACTGGACAATAAGAGTAAGAACAAAGAGATGGTGTAGAACTGTAGATGGAAAAGGGAAGAGAGAGTGGAAGACTGGAAGGAATCGCCGAATCGGAACGAACGAAACAGTGATAGCAATTTTTTGAAAAAAAGGCCTCTGTTAACAAAAATAAGCCCCTTTCACTCGACACCGGATCTGCTCCTCACACCTGGCGCCTCACAGGCGCCGCACACGCACATCCTATCATGCATTGGATTGGGATGTGCATGTGAGGCGCCCATTTGTGAGGAGCAGATCCCATCACCTTTCACTCGCTTTAGCGTAAGATACTCAGGATTGTTATACTACATATCGTCAATTTCTCGTAAGAGAGAGTTTGGTTGGAACATCACAAACAACACTTTTTGCTTCAAAAGAAACTAGCCAGGGACGCATGACTTGAGTATAGAATAATTTAAGGAAATAAAGCAAATTTCAATAATTTAGGTAATAAAATCCCAATATGCCAATGACCCTGACCAAAACATTAATGCTAATAGGATCTTCCCATGCAGCTCTTTTCGGTTCCTACTTCCTACCAATTCCAAGGAGGCCCAGACTCCAAAGCATTTACCATTATAACACGGTCATTAAATTATCAAGGAGAGCTTTTCATTGACTTCCATTTACCACTAAGGATTATATTTCTCTCTGCATTGTGAATTCAACGGTCAGAAAGTCTAGAAAATTAGAATATCCACAACCACTTCTCTCTAAGCTTCTGAAACCAGTTTACATTGAAAATTCCTTGAGATGATTGTTTACTAATGGTAGTATCTTTTGAATTCAAAGATTTTCCATTAAGTTCCACTTTATCTGTAATTTCAGAACTCTTTCAAGAATTTTCTGGATTGACCTTAATCTTAACTGGTTTCTCAAGCTTGGATTTATCTTCCATTCTTGCAATTTCAAGAGCCTTTACACAGACAGGGAAGCCTTGGCCATCCCAACACTCCAAGATTGTGCCAGAGCCTCTATGCAAGTTTTTCCTTAGTAAAAGGCTGCAAACTGCCCAACAGCCAAGCCTTGATCATCCTCAAATAAATGAACAACAGCAGTAGTTCTGCCACCATCTTCACCAGTTTCCATTATTAAACTACAATCATAAAAGCCAGGACCATGTCGAACCTGAAATTTGTACATCATCTAAAATATCGATGTTAAATCTCATCAAGATAGAATAAAACTATTACCAAGAACTGGCAAGGTATGGAAAATAAGAAATAAAATTGGGAATTCCTACCTTGCGTTGGAGCTTATTAAACTGATCTGGAGGCAATCTAGCAAGCCATTTCAGGGATCCAACACGGAATCTGCGCCTTATTATGTCAAATGAATAATAATTTCTTGAGACAAATACAACATTATTTTTGATATCCTTTTCCACAACATACCTTATTACCTACATGCAACACAGCATTTTCATGGGTAAAACCATTCATTAGATAATAAAAACTACGACCACCATGTAGAAAGAATAATCTCAACATACAAGACTGGTAGGAGCATATTATTAACATTAATATGATAGGATATAAGAAGTAAAAGGGAAGAGTTTTGGGGTGATTAAAATTACTTGACTTTGTTAATCAAAACTACAAAGAATAACCACTGCATCTAAAAGGGAAGAAAACATACCAGAGTCCTCTAGGAAGGCGTAGAACTTGGCGTTGATCAATAGTATAAAAACCAAAACCCCTGGTGTTTCCTAAGAAAAGCCCCTGTTTCAGCTTCCAACAAGATGCCTTCCATCTCCCCAATGTGTTTTGCAATGAATTCACTGAACTTTATCTATAATCAATGTGCCATCAACTTCAGCACTAAGGTGAAAGAAATAAAGAATAATCTGACTTAATCTCCTACAAGCTATTAAATTTTGGAACTCCTATTCAGCCTTGTGTGTGTAATTTATTAAGAGAATTTCTATCCATATATGTTCAACTTAGCCCTTAAAGGTATTCACTTGGAATAAGGATTTAAATCTGTTTAATCACTGCCATCTAGGACTCTTTCAAAGATCTCTCTGAGAACCCTCGTTAGATTAGTTAATAGGTGTAGATGCTTGAGATACAGCCTTAGGGTTTAGTCTCAGCTGTCTCGAGGACTACCACCAAAAAATAAAAAAATAAATAAAAACAGAGATAGCGTATCGAGTGGAAGAACTGAAACAACCAAACTCCAACTTTCACAATGCTGCATACAGAACAATATACTTAAATAGGAATAAGTTAAATAACGAAGTTTGGAGGGGGAATCTGATCTAAGAAAAAGCCACATTAATATCAATAGTCTGCAAAAATTTCCCGAGGAAACAACTCAAAGCAATAAGGAGGAAAAAAATATGATAACTACAATTTTGCGGATTCCAAATGAAAAATGAAAATTGTTTGGTCAAGTCGTATACAGACATCAACGCCAAATGAAAATTGTTTGACCAATCAAAACTATAGCAGTGCAAATGATTCGAGTGTAAATTCTGAGCTATTTTTGTTTCAAATTTTAGCTTATTTTGTTTGATTGTAGTACAAATGAAGTAAATTGTACTGCATACATTTATACTAATGTATAAATAAAACACAAAATAAAATGAAACCAGAATTTGCATTTTTTTTTATTTGCAGTCTCGTACATTTATACTAATGCAAATAAAATTGTACTGCAACCAAACACAGCCTTAAATTATTAATTAGTGGATATTAGATTATTAATGTTAATTATTATATATAAATATAATCAACTCAAAAGAATATAGTATATAACCGAAGTAGTTTGTGTAAACAGTAAAAATTATAAGGGGGCCTATTTACTATATGCAAATATCTTGGCCTTAACCTGATGATTGAACCCATGACCTTAATAGTTGGAGATCATGCTTTTGTGCTTACCTTAGGAACCGGAGGTGGCTCAACAACACTGTTTGCTTTAAAAAGACTGATAGAGCTAAAGTTAAGGTTCAGTTATGTCACAAGAAAATGTATAGGACCTCAAGGCTCAAGAGCTAAAGTTAAGGTCATTGCATGGAAGTGCTAAGAAAATGCATAAAGACTGATAGAGCAATTTGAGGGATGATTTGATATTTTATTTCACAATTGGAAAATGAGGAGACGCATTTCAAGTATGTAACTTTTATCTCAAAATTGTTACTCCTTGAAATACTCAAAACCATTCATTAATTTCCTTGAACAGATTTTTTTATTACATTCTGAATTGCATTGTCCTTCGGAATCTTGTTCAACAAGCTGGAGAAAGGAGGTGCTAACATGAGAAACCACATGAAGAAACTAACTTCTATGAAGATAGTCTAGCTAATAGCTATACTAAAAATATGTCAGCTGTCCATAAAAGTTTCACAACTGAAAGGTAGGGAAGAAAATTCCTCTGAAATAAGAAGCCCAAAAGGCAATTTATTTTCCCAAACACTCAGAACCCAAAAGATTGGTACAAAAACAGGAAAAAAAGGAGGGAAAGGCAAATATATCTCTCCTACTGTCCACATAGCGACTCCAACACCCGATGCACCCGACCTTCATACCTCCAGAGTTGACTTCTTCACAATCGGGGCATCCTCTTCTTCATATTCCTCGACTATTGTGTAATAAGTTTTCCCGTCCTCGCCGATCATCTACACACACCTGGTCCATTTCTTTCTTTCTGCCACCCTCGAAGGCTCACTCGGTTGCTCTAGTAATCATAGTGCTTCCACTTTCACTACCTTGGTCTCCCCATCTTTGGCAAGCTCTATGTATTAGATTGTGTCTTGTAGGTGGGCTTTGATCTTTCAAACAGGACACCGGTAGCTGGGATCATGATGGTCCTGCCTTTGTATTTGGCCTTAATGCATTGATGGTAAGTGGACGGGACTATCACCAACCTATGTATTAGCAGACGCCCTAGTAGAGCATGATAGGTGGTCTTTCCTGAAATCACTTGGAACTCTTGTTTGTTGAAGAAGGGCCCAATGGCTACTGGAAACACAAGGGAGCCCTCCGTGGTGGACGCATTACCATTGAAGTTTGTGACCTCCATGAGTAGGCCTTTGACGAAACCACTATTATTTCATCAACTTCAGGGTGTGTGCAGATATCAGGTTTATGGAACTCCCTTGGTCAATCAGTGACCATTGCTTTTCGTATCCACCTATTTTTGTCGTTATGTATAGGGGACGATTATGGTGTAGGTTAGTTGTGATCATGTCCTCCATTGTGAATTCAATGTTAAGTTTGTCTGCGCAATGCGGCTCTAGTGGCTTCCTAAAAGCTTCTACAAGTAAGCTGATCGTGAGTCTTCAAACTGTGTTTTTCATGCCCTGTTTACTAAAGAATTGTTGAAGGTCAGTGATTTTCTTGAATCACTGGATCAGCATGTTCGCACTACCATGCCCTGACATCCCAACAACATTGATGCTCCCTTCTTGCGAGTGCATAGGGAGGGGGTTGGTCTCTACTTGGGCATGCTTTCTTTTGATGTAGTCATCCAGCTTGACCTTTTGCGCAAGGAGTCATCAAAGAGAGAAGCAGTTCAAGAGGTCGTGGTTTGGAGACTGGTGGTAATTGCACCATCGGGGACTATGCCTATCTTTTTTAGGATCGATCCTGGTCGGTGGTGGTGGTAGGTTGATAACACGGTCCTTTACCAGCTTGTTCATGATAATAATCACTTCACTCTTGCTGCATGCAAACATTGGTTGAGGCGGTGGTAATGAGTTGATCATGATCATAATCACTTCACCCTTGTGCCGTGAGGCCTATAATCTACTGCATAAACCTCCAAGTTAGTGTATGGCGGATTTTGTGTGGCAGTTGTTGTTACGGGGGCTGTTACTATCTATGTTGTCCTCTCAGCACACTTCTAGAGTTGGCAGAATGTCTCTAATTCAACATTCTCGATTTCGATTATGTAGGCCAGGTGCATTCCTTGTACGCATTACTCCACGAAGTTTTTCTCAATTGCATATTCCTTGAAGACTAAATGGATTATCTTTTGGAAGTGCATGACATAGGCCAGGAGATCTTCCCCAGTGTGCCATACCGTATTGCAGAGGTTTGCCATTGTTAGTCTCTGTTCAAGGGTGAACCACTTAGACAGGAACTTCTTTGA